ATAGGAATCTGGGAATTTGACCTTGATCGGCTCTCTACGTGGCGGGCGTGGTTCCTCTTCCTTGGGGGCTGCAGCCTTGACGCCTTCAATGGCGCCAGCACAGAACCGCTCAGTCTTGTCGAGGCGATGACCCACCTCAGCCCCAACGGCGCCTACCAGCTCACGAGCAAAGTCCCTAAAGCCCAATCGTATCGAGCGCACAGCTATATCTTGACTCCTGCTGAAGTCATACTGATCTGCCTGGACTCGTGCCAGGCAAGCGATGCTTCGAGCCATGCCTCGCATCTGATTCGGGAAATCGGGTTGGGCGGCTAATTGTTGTTCTATCGTTTTCACTTCCTCCAGTGCTTCCGCTGCCTCTGCTGCCTTGTCAACTCTCCTTTTTTTCTCCCTCATCACCGCTAACTTCCACTCCATCCTCTTCTCATCTTCCAACGCCTGGCGTCTAAGGGGGTCTTTCTCTGCATCCCAAGCCCTCATGGCAGCYTCTTGCTGATCYTGCGGAATATACATACTAACCTCTTCCTCTTCTCCCACAGTCAGGTTGGCAACCCACTCGGATATTCTCTTCTCTAGGTTCCCACCGTTACCACTTCTGGGCTGCCCGCTACTCTTTTGCAGTGACGGACCTTCCTCTTCTTCATCCATCTCCTTCAGCTTCTCTTCTTCTTCCTTTTTCAACTTCTCTTTCTCCCTGGCCATCTCTTCTTCCATCTTTTTTAGTTTGGCCGCCTGCTCCTCCTTCAAGGCCTTCTTCTTGGCCTCCTTCTTCTCCTTTTTCTCCTGTAAAAGGGCGGCCATCTTCTCCTCCTCCTCCTTCGTGTAGGGGGTGGTGGAAGTCCCACCACGAGTGGGCCCTACTCTACACGTGAAAGTGGGCCAAAAGCCCAGAGGGAAGAGGAGACGTCAGAGGGTCCCCCAGAGGGAGAACCCAACAAGTATCCCATACATCGGATAATCATCCATCGTGGTGTTGGTGCACGACAGGGGTCCCACTCCTCACCACGTAGACCTACCCGGACACACTGACCTCTGACTGACGTAGACTCCAATAACTAACACGGAACTTTCCTCTCACGGGATTAGGGTCCCACTGGGTACCTATGCCCCCAGGTAGGCCGGCAACCCTAACCACTTCCCCACAAAGGGGAGGAGCCTTTCCTCCAGGAGAGATCAGTCTCTGACTTTACACTAACACTACTACGGTCTCTAGCCTAGACCTAGGGCTGWCACTACAAACTGTGCTGACCAGGAGGCATTTAAGGAGATCCCCCAAACTCCGCAAGAATTYTTTAACGTCGCAGACAGGACGACGCGGTCAGCACAACCCTCCTGGCGATTTCAGCCCACAACTAGCCGTTCCGGCCTACCTGTGCCACACCGAGCAGCCCGCCGGTC